AGAGAGAGAGAGAGAGAGAGAGACAGAGAGAGAGAGACAGAGAGAGAGAGACAGAGAGAGAGAGAGAGAGAGAGAGACAGAGACAGAGACAGACACAAAGAGACAGAGACTTCAATTAGAGTGGTAGATTCGGACATTGAGTATCTAAGATAACTAGATGAAATTTTCTGCAAATATTTTTCCAGTCTTTGTATGAAGATTTTCTAATCTAAGGAAGACTTAGCTGTTTCAAACTCAGAGATCTGCCTGCTTCTGCCTCCCAACTGCTGCCATCAAAGGAATGTGCCACCACCGAGTTCTAATCTTTGTGAATTCCTGATCCTTGTGCCACCGTGTGCTTTGCCTTGGAGGAACTGGGCCTCATGGGTTGTTGTATTTATATGGAATGGGATGGAAGGCATAACTGCCTCATGTGCTCTGTGTTCCTAGTGTTCAGATCCCTGTCTGTTTTCTTCCTAGTGACAAAAAGCTGATTGCAGAGGGACCAGGGGAAACTATATTGGTCGCAGAGGAAGAAGCAGCACGGGTGGCACTCAGGAAGCTCTACGGCTTCACGGAGAACAGGCAGCCCTGGGACTACTCCAAGCCCAAAGAGGGCTCGAGAGCAGAGAAGACCAGTGTTGCCAGCTAGGCAGCATGGGGTGACATCATCATCACTGTGAACAAAGCCGTGAGATACGGCCAGAGGCGAACAGCTCAGAATATTGGAGCAATGCCTCATTGTTCTTACTGTGCCCTACAGTTAAATAAGTGTTTGTCAGGTGACGGGTGTTTGTTTCATTTTTTTCTGTTTCTCTTACATACCAGTGTATTACTGTGTATAATTTGTACAGCTAGAGATATCCCCTCCAGCTTTGAAGTATAGTCAAATATATGTCATATGTGAAGTTTGTTGTAATATGAATAAAAAGCTATTCTTTGAGTTATCTTTCCTTTTCATATTGATGCAAGAAAGGCTGAAGCAGCAGCTGTGGCTTCAGTGCAGGTACAGGATGAGGGCCAGGCTGGTCTACCTGAAGGAACAGGACAGCTAAGTGGGTACAGGTGGCAGTTCAGGCTACATGATTATCATGTACTGAGCTCAGCCCCAGGGACAGTTGGGAGTCTTGCCTATTGGTCCTTGATGGCTATATTTGGTAGTCAGATGCTAGGTATGGGGGCCACTGTAGCAAAAAGTGTCTGCCTCTTCCTAGTGTCCAGGTGAGTTCTTTTGGGCTTGAAGTTGATTTCGGCTACTTTGAGCCCCAGAAGAATAACAGGATGAGATCAGGGTTTTTGTTCACCCACTCCCCTTCTGGCCTAGGCACGATGGACTGGCTGCCTCTATAAAAGGCTGTAAGTCCTGCTGGCTGGCCGTTTTCCTTCATCTAATGTGTACCAGTAGTCCAGGGTGTTGTCTGGACTGCCTGTTTCTGTGGGGCTGTGGAAATCCTGGGGTGTTTGGCCACGCCTCAGAGCCCAGAGACCTAACATGCACGCAAGGCACAGTTAGAAGGCGTGGCTAACAGGTCTCTGCCTCAAGATTTAAATTACCTAAAGGCCGGAGGGTAGTCACCTCCCAAGCCCCTCCCCTCCCCAATATAAAGGGGCCTCTCCTGGCATTTTTTGGGAGAGTGTCCATCATTCAGACTCATCACCATGTCAATAAATCTACATGTCTTCAATCCCACGTGTCTCCTGCAATTTTGGACTCTGTGTAAGTGGAAAACTTGCGCATCCCTGCGATCTCTGCGCTCTAGAAGCCGGGTGGGACACTCTCCCCTTACAGCAGCAGTCACCGCCGGCTGCCTGGGTCCCTGCTCTCCCTGGTCCAGCCATCCGCAGGGCTCTCTGTAACCGGGTTTGAGAGACTACATCAGCCCTGCCACACGCGCGTCCTGAGAAGGCCTCTATGCTCTGGCTCCGGGCCCTGACTTGCGAGTTTTGAACCACATGTTTCCAGGTTCTTAGTGTTTTGTTCAGTATTGAAGTAAAAGCCCACCCTGATTGCAAAGTTGCACGGAAATTTTATTCAAAGCAGTAGAAAAGATCAAAATAACCTACAGGGAGCAGTAGGCCACATGAGGGAAGATACTCAGTAGTCATGATTCTTGTTTGGAGTTTTCCATTAAGGGATCCAAGAGAAGGAGGAGCTGGGTTCCTAGGGGCATGCTTGGGTGCATTGTACAGAGAGGGGGTTGTGGGGGTAGTACATGTAGGTAGAGGAGCTAGAGTAGACTACCAAGTGTGTTAGGAGAGGGGGCTGTTCAAAACCCACCCAAGTAGAGTCCCAGGTTGACTCTCCTGCCTCCAGTGTATCCAGGAGGTTCTTGGGTCTGGTATCCCTGATACAATTTTAATATGCCAATATGCCCCTAGTGCCTTAATGTACTCCCAATAAATTATACAGTGGTGAGTTCTCTGTTTGCAAGAATAAGCTGTCTTATTCTGTGTGCGTGGTGGCGCCAGACAGATGGTGCTATTCATGCTCACACAGGTGTGTAGTCATACTCCATCCTCAAAATGCAGTCGAAGTCTGCTTGTACAATATCTCCTGAGAACACGGAGAGGGGGCTCCGCAGTTAAGCGTGCTGACTATCGTAGAGGACCTGTTTTGGTTTCCAGCATTGATGTAGTGGCTCACCACCTTCTGTAACTCCAGTTCCAGGGTGTCTGACGCCCTCTTCTGGCCTCCTTGAGTACTACATGCATGTACACGTTCATATACATTAAAACAATGAATATACCTTTTAAAATAATGGAGTCTCTCGGGACTAGGTACAGTCTTTGAAACTTTACTCAAGATGGAGTAATTTACAGGACACAGCCTGCTCTGAGCAGGACCCAGCCTCCTTCATCAGCTTCTAGGCCCAACTGTATCTCTAACAATGCAAATTTTGTGTGGGAAAGACTGATAGGTAAAGAGGAGGGAGGGAAATACTAGTGGGCTTTCAAGTGCTTTATGAAAGTTAGAACCAACGTTTCAGTGCATAGAAAGGGCCCACAGCGAGAAGCCCATGTCCACCTGAGAAAGCCCAGTTGTTCTAATAGCTTTAAAACCTTTTATTGCTTTTCCCTCTGTCCTATTATTTGATTTCTGGTTAAAAAAAAATAGAATCTGAGTTATCTCTGACATTGGGTGGGGACATGACTGTGCACTGCCGTAAGTGTCCTACGATTCCTACGTAGCAGAGATCTCTCAAAGAACAGAGACAACATTCCCTCCCACCCCCGTACACACAGCAAGAGTTAATTCTGTTGATCATATAAACTGGAAAACACGCCTCAGGAAAACTGTTCCAGACACTAGAAGATACAGTATATAGCCTCTTAAGTGATGTAGTGTCATATCATGTCACCATAGTGGTCTCATGAGCCAGTCACCTGTGAGAGTGTTTTCTTCTTCAGTAGCCACTTGAGTTATTGTCCACACTCACGTTATTCTGTAATAAGCCCTGTCTTCTACATGAAGCCCTACGTTTCTTCTAAATTCATTCGACAGAGATCCCAAGGGTAGGGGATGACCGCGGATTGTCAGAGCGAGATTGCAGTAACATTCTGTCCCCGATTCATAAAGCCTTGACTTTGTTTTGTATTGTTTCTGGTCTCTGTAGGTCCGTCTCACTTTGAAAATAAGAGCGTGAGTTTCCAAGCCTTTGACAAAAAGAGTCTGCCTAGCATTCATTCTGAAGCAAGAAAGAAACGCCTTTGAGACGAGAGACAGTATATTTTAAAGCCACGGTCTGTTTTGAGCAAGGAAGGTCTCAAACAGTGGGGTGGAGAAGGCATAGCTGCCTCAGAAGCCTCATACTCTACTCAGTCACATCTCAACCCACCAGAAAAATAGAATCCTCTTGCTGAGGCTGGCCAGAAAGGTACAACCTGTGTCTTATAGAACAGACACAGTATCACGGATAACAGAGACTGTTTCCAGAGGGCTCTTGAGAAGAGTCGGGCTGGCTAAATCAGAAGGTTTAGAAAAACTGTTGATTTTTAATTTGTTGAATCCCGTTAGTAGCCGAGGCTGGCTTGGAACTCATCTTCCTGGTTCACTGTTTCTGTTTTTCTTTAAGTTTAGTTTTTTTTGGTTTTTGGGTTTTTTGAGCTTTAACTTCAGTTTCAGTTAACTACAAGAATAACAGACCAAACCCAGCAGTGCACATGTCATTGTGCTTGACATCTCCATGAGTAAGCTTCACAAAAGTCACACCCTGGAGTCAGTTCTATCATGTAACACAAGACCGCAAGCATGGTGAACACCCACCCAGCGTGTGCAAAATGCCAGACTCTACGTAGAATTTGTTGCGGGTTTCTTTAAGTAAACATTCTTCTTAGTCTTTGGCGATTTTACTGGCAAACTCAGTAATCCTCTTCTGACTTCTTGTTTAGGAACGTTTGCAAGACTTGAGCCTACAAGGCTGATGGAGAATTCAGTCCCCAGTAGCACCTGGTGACCTTGCTGAACTCCTAGCCACACTCACCTTGCCTATCTTTGGGTACAGGATCCCTGTTCACTTAGAGTGAAATGATTACCTGTCTCTAATTTCATTATGATCCCATCAGCACGCTTCCAGTCCCATGCCTTCTGGTGCCATGACTTCCAGTGACATAACTTCCGGTAACATGCCTTCTGGTGCCATGACTTCCAGTGACATAACTTCCGGTAACATGCCTTCTGGTGCCATGGCAAGTGATAATGGCTATGGAGAGGACTAGAAAGCATAACAAATAACACCTGGGTATTCCTTCTCTTAGCCTCCTCCCTCCCTGTTCTTTGCTCTATAACAGTGGTTCTCAATTGTGGTTGGAGACCTTTGTGACAAGCCTCTATCTCCAAAAATATTTACACTATGACTCCTAACAGTATCCAAAGTACAGTTATGAAGCAGCAATGAGAGTAATTGTATGGTTGGGGGAATCATTACAACATGAGGATCTATAGTAAAGGGTCACAGCATTAGGAAGGCTTGATACCACACTACTCTCTAACTTCCCAGTCCACTAGGGATGAAACGTTGAATTCCTAGTTTACTTCCATTTGCTTGGTATTGGCTGAATTCAGAGAGAGGCAAAAGGAAGCAGTTTGGGGATAAAAACTGGCTTGTGACACTTTCCTTCAGCTTTCAGGCTTCTAACCCCTATATATGGGTGGATAGATTTGCACAAGGACCGAGTGTAACCTTAGTACATAAAATAGGCGGCTAGTAAAAAGATCCATATTTTTCATAAGGAATATACTTTCAACACACTTCTAAGTAAAAACTTTGAACTCAAATTGTTAGGCTACGTTTATTTTAAATCTTTTTTTTTTTTTTAAAAACCACTGAAATGTAGCAATGGCCTGGAATGTGGGAAAATCAGCATGTTTCCAAGGTTCCAAATGAAATCACTTAAAACGTTGGATCCATCTCTGCACAACTTTTCCTGACCCCAGAAGAATAAACTTTATACGTGGGCAAGAAGAACATGGGGGGCACAAGGATGTTGACTAGAGCATGTGACTAAGTCCATGCAGTACTCACCCGAAGGAAGTGCTGGCTCATTGACTAATGCCTTAGCCACATTGTATAGACAATCATGAGAATATATGGGAAACAGAGGAGTAGTGGTGCATGCCTTTGATCCCAGCACTTGAAGGCAGAGGCAGGCAGGCCTCTCTGAGTTTGAGTTTGGTCTATGGGGTAAGCTTCAGGACAGTGAGGGCTACACAGAAAAACCTTGTCTTGAACCCCCACCAAAACCCCATAAGCATAAGGGAATTGAGAGAATTATCAAACTATAAAGACAGTGTTTGTTTGGCACTGGCAAAATATAATCATCTATTATAATTTATTATATATTATTATACATTATTATACATCTCTTGTCTTTTCTCACTCTTATTGTTTTTTTTCTTTTTTTTAAACCAGAAAGGGTCCTACACCAAAAATGGAAGCTCAAACTTCTA